AAATGAAGGAAGACTTAGCTCAATCTATCACCTATAGGCAGCTTCAATCAACCTTTCAGCAAGCACCATTTCTTCATCTCTTAGCAGCAAATCCTCTCAAGAGCACCAAGCTCTAGTTGTATGTAATTTGATGTATGGAGTGAGTTATGATTTCATAAATTCATCTATCTCAATCATTGAGCATGATTGAGCTAGACGAATGAAACATTGGTGTTGCGATGAATAAACTAGAAGTAATGTATTTGAAGCATAAAGTTTAATTCAACATAAACACTACACAAAAATAGTTTACAGCAGAAATCTTGTAAATGTATACTTGGAGAAGTTTAAATGCATACTATCAATCGTATACTCTCAAGTAACATATACTAGCTGAAACAATTATAAAGATTTGAAGTAAGGAAAAAACGAGCCAGCCATCAAAGATTTAAGGTCATCTTGGGGAAGCACTTATGTGAATGCAATCATTCTCATAACCCTCAAGAGTGAGAGCTATTGGCTTAAGGAAACAACTCTTTTCAGAGTATTTCCACACCACTCGGTTTTCATGCACAGCAAGTATATAGAGAGAAAGCATAAGACATTTTAATAAGAATGCATGAGTTTTAGCCACACACTAGCAAGTCTGTCCGGAGGAGTATTTATAAAGCCTTTGACAAAACACTCAGCCACAGACTTAAGAGAAAGTGAGCGGTTCAAGACAGAAAAAAGAATAAAGAAAGAATTATTCTTTTTGTATGCAAAGTGTGCTGACACAGTTTTGGGAAACAAAACTGAAGGCATGTGATTGTCTGTTTAAGAAACACCAAGGAGCCGCACTTTGAATCAAGGTTTGAAGAGTGGAATTAAAAACTAGTTTATAACCCATCATTTTGAGAAGGTGGCAGTCAAGAAGATAACAGCCAAGAGGTATGGGTTAAAAACTAATAAACAATTGAAAAGTTTAAACCTTTTGGGAAAAAACGTTTTGAGAGTAGGAAAAATATTCTCACGTGTTTGTCAGCCTTTTTGACAGGGAAGGAGATAAAGATAAGTTAAGGCTGAAATAAAGAGAAATGTTGCAGCAAACAGGCAAAATTGAAAGTTGGATCAATACACGTGAACATGTATTAATCCAGTGAAAATGCATATGAGTTTTACCTTTGAACTGCAACGAGGAGACAAAGAAGTCCTTCAACCCACACTGATTCTAATCTAGAATCTAATTAATATTACAAGGGTTTTGTAGGTTTAAGAGAAGAGCCAAAATACAATGAAGGTCCAAATGAAAACCTTACATCTTTCATGGATGGTTCATCTAGATACAATCAAATAAGAATGTCGCCAGAGGATGAAGAACTCACAGCTTTCCGCATTCCGAAAGGAATTTACTATTACAAGGTGATGCCATTTGGTCTTAAGAATGCAGGTGCGACCGATCAGCGTGCAATGCAAAAGATCTTTGGCGACATGCTTCACAAGAATGTCGAGTGCTACGTTGATGACCTGGTGATCAAGTCACAGAAAAAAGAAGATCACTTGAAAGACTTGAGAATGGTGTTCAACAGGCTACGGAAATACCAACTCAAGATGAACCCTTTGAAGTGTGCTTTTGGCGTCACGTCAGGTAAATTTCTTGGTTTCGTTGTTAAGCATTGAGGCATTGAAGTAGATCAGTTTAAGATTAAGGCTATCCGAGATATGCCCGAGCCAATAAATTTACATGAGATGAAAAGTTTACAAGGACGTCTCGCTTTTATTCGGGGATTCATCTAAAACTTAGCAGGGCGGTGTCAACCATTCAATCGTCTTATGAAAAAGGATGTCCCATTCGTTTGGGATGAGGCTTGTCACAATGCCTTTGAGAGCATAAGGAAGTACTTATCGAGTTCACCACTGTTAGAAGCTCCTATTCTCGACAGGCTACTCATATTGTACATTGCGGCTCAAGAGAGATCAATCGGAGCCTTTTTAGAACAAGAGAATGAGTCACATAAAGAGTAAGCACTCTACTATCTAAGTCGGACCCTTACTGGTCCCGAACTAAATTACACGCCTATAGAAAAGATGTGTCTTGCACTTGTTTTTGCTATTCAAAAGTTAAGGCACAACATGCAAGCGTTCACAGTTCATCTAATTGCACGAGCTGACCCATTGAGGTACGTTATGTCAAAACCAATCTTGACGGGGCGTTTGGCCAAGTGGGCGTTACTTCTCAATCAATATGAAATCATCTACACTCCAGCAAAGGCGATTAAGGGTCAAGCTATTGCAGACTTCCTAGCCGATCATCCAATTCCAGTAGTCTGGGAAATTTCAGATGACTTACCCGACGAACAAGTCTTCTTCGCTAATGTTTCTCCTGCTTGGATGATGTTCTTTGATGAATCGACTCGTATAGATGGGGCAGGGCTGACGTAGTCTTCGTATCACCCGAGAGACATGTATTACAATATTTATTCTGTTTAAGTGAACTTTGCTCAAACAATGTTGCAGAATACCAAGCTTTGATCATGGGCTTGCAAATGGCTGTGGAGATGAAGATATCAAGCTTAGAAGTGTACGGTGACTCCATGTTAGTGATCAACCAGCTATTGACCTATTACGAGGTTAGGAAGGATGATTTGATTCCATACCACCAAATGGCCACGCAGTTACTTGAAAAGTTTAACTTCGTGACGCTGGAACATGTGCTGAGAAAAGATAACCGAATGGAAGATGCCTTAGCCAACCTTGCTGCTACATTGGCGTTGACAAAAGATGAAGTAGTGAATCTTCTAGTTTGCCACCGTTGGGTCGTTCCATTAGCACTTGGAGCATCGCAAGAAGGAGTCAATGTTATCTCAGTATTGTCCATTGATGTTGACGACTGGAGGCAACCTTTAATTGATTATCTTGAGCATGGGAAACTGCCAGATGACAAGAGACATCGATCAAAGGTACGACGTCGGGCACCTTGATTCATTTATTACAAAGAAATTCTCTACCGTCGTTCATTCGAAGGCGTGTTTCTAAGATGCTTGGGAGAAGAAGATGCATCTAAAGCGATGGGGGAGGCTCACTCAGGTATTTGCGGAGCTCATTAATCAGGGCCAAAGCTACATTTCCAAATAAAGAGGATGGGCTACTATTGGCCGACTATGGCCAAGGATTGCATGGATTATGTGAAGAAATATCAGGCATGTCAATTCCATGCCAACTTTATACACCAGCCGTCGGAGCCGCTACATCCCACCCTTACTTCATGGCCATTCGATGCGGGGAGTCTTGATGTGGTGGGGCCGATAGCACCCAAATCTTCTGACGATCATTCTTACATCCTTGTAGCCACAGACTACTTTTCAAAATGGGTAGAAGCTGTACCTCTAAAGGAAGTGAAGAAAGAAAATGTAGTGAGCTTTATCAAAGTATACATCATTCATTAGTATGGTGTGCCACATTACATCATGACAGACAATGGAAAGCCATTCTCGAACCGGTTAATGGATAAACTATGTGAAGACTTTGGTTTCAAGCAATGCAACTCTTCAATGTATAATTCTCCGGCCAACGGTTTTGCAGAAGCATTCAATAAAACTCTTTGCAACCTGTTGAAGAAAGTTGTCGGGAGAACAAGAAAGATTGGCATGAAATGATAAATGAAGCATTATGGGCTTATCGGACGACATACCAGACACCTACTCAAGCTACACCGTATTCGCTTGTGTATGGCGTGGAAGCAATCTTGCCTTTAGAAAGTCAAATTCCATCACTAAGGATGGCCATACAAGAAGGATTGACTAATGAAGAGAATGCGAAGCTGCGTCTCCAAGAGTTAGAAGCATTAGACGAAAAGAGACTCGAAGCGCAACAACACTTAGAGTGTTATCAAGCTCGGCTTTCAAATGCTTTTTGATAAGAAAGTCCGCCCTAGATCTTTTCAGGTTGGAGATCTCGTCCTCGCATTACGTAGACCAATCATCACAACGCACAAAACCTGAAGTAAGTTTACTTCGAAATGGGATGGGCCCTACGTAATACAAGAAGTATACCCAAGTGGCACCTACAAGATCGTAGCCGAGGACAGCTTAAGAGTCGGCCCCATCAATGGAAAGTTCTTGAAACGATACTATGCATGAAGTGAATACAAGCTCCTGGCCCCGCATGAGCCTAAACTTCGTACGGCACCAAAAAAAAAAAAATGGCTCGTTGGATTGAAAACCCGAAAAGGGCGATCCAAGCAAAAGTTAGAGCATAAGAAAGTCCGTTGAGTTGAAAACCCGAAAGGGCAGCTCATGCAAAAGTTAGGACACCAAAAAAAAAATTAAAATTAAAAAATTAAAATAAAAAAAAAACCCTTTGAACTACGTGATGACTTGATCCCTTTTTATCGAGGGTACGTAGGCAGCTTGGACAAATAATTCCAAGTTCAGTCACATCAAAATAAAAATAAAGTGTTTCCCTATCTAAGCCAAACCATTTGAAAGAAATAATGAATGCTTTTATTTCATTATGAAAGTTAACTAGTAAACATCAACACTTTGACAAGTTCAAAGAGAAATATGAACAAAGCAGAGAAAGTTTACAACAACAAAAAAGTTGCTATTCCCAACACAAGTCCCTAAAGCCATTACACAATCTTGCAAAAGAAACTCATAGTGCATCTAAAGTCTCAACATCAGCAGCTGATAATACAGGAGCTCTTTCGACTTCAATCTTATCCTCTCTCAAGCAGGTAACCTCACCATGATGATATGAAAGCTGTGCACCACTCTCCGAAAGTGATTCGTTTAGTTGACGCAGTCTTAACTCCAATTCTTCTTGTTCTCTCTTCAACTCTTCCATACGCGTGTTGGCAGATTTAATAGACTCAAGTATGGAAAACTGATGAAC